GCACAAAAAAAAATGAGGTAATAATTCACGGCGTCTGCCGGTTTCCAAAGAGCAAGAAACCGAACCGCACCGTTATGCAGCGAGTCCTGCAAGATGGCGATATCTTCGTTACAGAACAAGAAGCCACATAGAGAGAGAGAGAGAGAGAGAGAGCCAGACAAAGGAGAAAAGAAGCCGCAAAAGAGGGCATGCAAGCCATGACCGGACAAACCAGACGAACCAATAGAAAAAAATAATAGCCCCTAAGATGGAGCAAAATAAAGGTTAAAGGAAATCAATAGGGAAGAAAGGTCCAGGCAACGAGACTCCTCGGCATTCAACAGATCCACAATCTCGTCCAAACCCCCCGAAAAAAAAAGGTATAAAAAAACGCCGGGTGTCAAACCTTCCAACCCCGCAAAAGGGGAAAATAACCCCGGGCACGCGGAAAAAACGCCAGGAAAAAGGTATATGCTATTACAAAAAAAAGTAAAATCCTCCAAGATGCACATCCACATGTGTTGGGCGAAAAAAAAGCAAAGATTAGAAAAATAAAACTACCGGTTTGCTTGCTCGCTCGTGAATTTTTGCAGATCCCTAAGCCCAAACACCGCGTGAGAAGAGGGAAAAAAGAAAGGGTGCCGTTTGAAGACACCACGGCCAAGTAGACAGGCCCCTAGTTGAACATCCACTGGCAATGACATGCACTCGAGGGATCACTTCGGGGACGGATATCCTCAGGAAGAGCATCGCGCTTACTATGTGCGTCCTCGGATGCGGCAATGTACTCTTCGTACGTGGGATCCTGTTCCTGCAGCATGATGCGTAGAGGGCCGTTGGGGCCGTTGGGCGCCGTAGTCATGATGCCGTTGTCCAGGAGTAGCATGCGCTGGCAGTACGGTGGCGGCGAGTTGGGGACGCGGCGTTCTTCAATCTTGACGATGCGGGGGTAGGGAAACATGCGAGGTGGGGCGGCGGGGTCGGACGAGGAGCTTGCATCGCGGCGTACGGGAGGAGCGGCTGTTGGAGTGGCTCCGGTAGATGGGGTGGGGTGTGTTGAGGAACCGCTGGTCATGGTTGCCGCACTGGCTGCGTTGATGGCGATCGAGTCTGACGAGGTTGGCGCGGGAGACGTCGATGATTGGCTGGGAAAGACGGTGTAGGATGCGGCAGACGAGTTGTCCGTGGCGTAAATGTAGCCTTCAATGTAGGTCTCGTTCCAGAAACAGTACCATGGCATATCGCCAGGCCTCACGATGAAGTGCTGGCGAAAGACTGATTCGCTTCGCCTTGTCGTAAGATCTTGTGAACCGCTCAACTCTTCCGGTCTCAGTATTACTAGTTTGTCGTAGCGCGTCTTGAAGTGAAAAGCTGGACCATATGCCTTGTAATCTAGGTCGACTACTAGGTCCATGAACTCCTGTTCCAGTTGTGGAGTTTGTAGACCATAAAGTATGACATCACTGGGGATGGAAGAGCCTTGCTTCATAGACGCAAATTGCTGACAGCCTGGAATTTCCGATGTGTCATTGATGGTGAGTACAAGGGGTGCAAATGTCATTTTGCAAGACCAGGCCGAGTATTGGCTGGCACGTGCCAAACATCCTGGGTTACTTTCCTGTGGTATTCCTAATGGCAGAGCGAAGGCACCCGTGGGTAATGGTGAAAGCCCTGAGGGCGTGGGGATAGGCACAGCATCAAAAAGCGAACCATTTGGCCCAGTAACCTGTGAAAGTCTAGCAAGGTCAGTGTTTGTTCATGTTGGCTAACGTCGAAGGAACTTACGGTGGATCATGAGGCTTGTCGCCTTCGCCTTCTTTCTGGTCGTTGTGATGCTTCTTCACGATAATTGTTCCAATAGCTGCTCCAAGTGCAATAGCACACACTAGCAGTAACATGAGTACCACTACAAAAATCCCCATTGGTATCTTGCCACACATTTTCCTCTTGCGCCAATTTGGCTGGGCACACCCAGGATCAGCTTTCTCATTGAAGCTATTCTCCGTGGTGAGTAAGGATGCCGAAGACGAGTCAGAGGGTTCCGCGGGTATCGTTTGTGCTGACGCGGAATTCGCAGGCGCCGGGTTACCCGTTTGAGTTTCTGGTCTTTGAGGGGGCAGGCGAGCGGGAGTAACGGTGGGGAGCGCTGGCGCCACGGGCAAAGCCGGGGTCGAGAATGAGATCCTGCTTGCTGGTGATGAGGGAGATAGTGGTGTGTTGAACGGATCCTCCGACTCGGCGCCTGGAACAGGTGCAGGAATTATGCGCGATGCGCTCAGCTCGGCAGCCACAGAAGCTTTGGTTGGACCCTCATCTGGATACCTCGAGTAAGGTGGTAGTTGCTCGGTATGCCCATCTGGTCCAATAATATCCTGCTCTTCACCGTCTGGTCCCAAGACTCTATGGTAGCCGCTGTTGAGTCCAGGAAATCCTACTGGGCCCATGGCGGTTTGCACAGGAGGCACCACCGCTCGTGATGCTTCTGGAAGGGCCTCTTGAGGCTCGTCGTCAGCGAGGCCGCTCTGAGAGTACATGGCATACGGGTGGGTTGGGCGCTGTAAAGACATGGATCGATGGGGCTGGCGTTCGGTCGAGGTTGTTGCTACGCTCAAGGGACGGGCCATGGTGTGCTGCGGGTACATGCCATACGGATGGCTAGGTCCGCTACCCAACTCGAACGGGTTTTCCGAGTTGCTCGTCGTCGCAAACGACCCAGCCGAGCTCACTGAGTCGCGGTGTCCTAGTGGCGAAGGGGTGCTGGGCCCCCTGCGGTGCGAGGACTGGCCATCTGGGCCCATCGCATCGTGCACCTTGGCAACGCTATTTCGCGTGGCCATCCTCCGCAGACTGGTCCCTGGAGCGCCTGGGGGTTTCGAGGTGGAAGTCTGGCGCTGCGGTGCGTCGTTTCGCTCGTGGTTTTGCCGGTCGCCCGGCCCTCCCTCTGCCGGTGTCCACAGGCCG